ATGAACTTTTATCTTTTAGTTTTTATGTAATTTCACATTTAAAAACGAAAACTATTTTTTCCAAACACTTTTGCATAACTTTTTTTTTTTGTTCTCTTTTCAATTTCCAGCTACCAACAACCTATTAGTTTGGTCAAACACATCCATAAATTCTTTTATGTAATTAATATTTCATTATATCATCAACAAAGTTAATGATTTTTAAAAATTAAATCAATGTTTTATGCTAACTTTGGATAACTCTCGTCTCTATTGTTATCACTTTCTGTTATTTTAACTAAAGATAGCAAAAATGATGCATCATACTAGTTGTCGAGTTTTGTAGCATCAAGGTTGTAAAAATCGTTTAGCGGTACTTTGACAGTTGACTGACAATAAACGATTAATCAGACCCGGCTGCGATTAATCGAGGACCCTAAATTATTATAAAAATTAATATTTCCTAAAAATTAAGTATTTAGAAATTTTAAATTTTAAATTCAAACATTAAAAAAATTTTAGTATAATATTTTAAAATTTTAAAGCTTAAAAGTTTTAAATTTTACAATTTTGTTGTAATATTTGAAATTTTTTTTTTTTTGAAAATTTTAAAATTTCCCACCTATGACCGCCGAGGACCGCCAAAGACCACCAAGCCCAAATTTGACCGATTTTGATCAATTTCCGCCAAACATCCTAATCGTAATCGGTTCGAAGTCGCAAAACGATTAATCGACGGTCAAGACCGATTTCTACAACACTGTGTAGTATAAAAAACATTTGTGTTTGTAAGAATATGAGCATGTTTAGCTGTCAGCCGAAGGGTATAGTTAAAAATTGTAAATTGTAATTTTTATTTGTATAAAAATATTAACAAAAGTAATTGTCATCTTTAAAATATATAACTATATAAAGGGAATCAACAGTAAAAAGTTTTCAAAAATTACATGAAGTTGCTTGTTGATTAAAAGTTTTTATTTTAAAATAAAATTTCGAAAGTCCTCCCATTTTTTTAAAAAGTTAAAACTTTCAAAAAGAAGAAAAAAGCTACACCAATACTTTAAGAACTTGTCAAAGTCAAGTATTATCGACCTAGCAAAGGGTCCGCTGGGACGTTCTAATCTACATATGAGTAAAAAGGTGAGGTATTAATAATTGTGTTGAAAGAAAACGATTATGGGGTTTTAAGTAGTATAAATAAATAAGTGTATTCGTTAAAACTCCTGAATTAAAGCATGAATAAGTGGCAGGAATTCTTTTCTATGATGGAGATGCAACGAGAAAAAACCAACCAAAAACAAACAAAAGTTGGTGACTACGACAATTCTTTCCTAATGAAACGTGGTAATTTGATTTATTTATTTGTATGAACGGTCGAATTATTTTTTGTAGATAAAATGATTAAGATTACTATTTCTCGTAATTATTTTCCCAAAAAAAAAAAAAAAAAAAAAAAAAAAAACAAATTGTGATTTCTCTAAAGTTAGCTATATATATATATTTATAGGGGGCACTACAATGTTTTATTTTCATATTATTTCACCGGAGTTGGCTAAAAAGACACCATATTTTACCATTTAGACAACCATAATAACGTTTGGAATATTTTTATTGGTTGAAATTGCATTATTTTCCGAAAAAGCTAATTACAAGTAGTTGATTATAGATTGATTTTTTATAAAAATGATTATAAGGTGTCTTATTAGCAGCACCCTATTTCATCTCTTATATCCTCCCACCGGTAGAGAGTCCTACTTTACAAGTGTAGCCTTGCATGGAAACACCATATATGAGGTGTTTGGATTAGATTTTTAGCTTATTGTTTATAGCTTATTAGTGGTGGGAATAAACAATAAGCAATAAGCATGGGGAGAGATGCTTATTAAAATTAGCTTATTTAACCTAATAAGTTGGATTTTATTCAAACACTCAAATTAACTTATTGTGGGAATAAGCAATAAGCATTTTTTTTTTTCCTATCCAAACACCCCCATAGTCTAATGAGTCTCATCCAATTTGCGCCCCCGGCATGACTCCAGCAATATACTGGAACACCTCTCTTGCCTCTTCCTTTTCTTTTTCTGATTGTCTAAAAACGTTTTTCGATATATATATTTTTTTTGTTTTCAACTACTATAAATGCCTAATATATCTTTAGAATTTTTACATCCAACATAATGTTACTCTATATTTAAAAAAAAAATGTTTATATAAGTTTGAGAATTGAAAGATGAAATCATCTTCATTGTCATCTTAATCAGACCATTGGTAAAGAGTGCACAACACACAAAAATAGTAGAAACAACAACCATTGTTTTGATTGATGATAAAGCCGGAGGTTCAAGTTCAAGAACAAGAAAAGTTGCTTTGAACAAAGATTGTGAAGCCAAACACAATCGTTTCGTATAAGGTTACTTTGTCGATAATGTTATATATTATGATAGCATGTTTAGACGACGGTTCCGCATGAGCAGATAACCATTCTTACATTTAGTTAATAATTTGGAGAAAGAATTCCATTTTTTTTTTAGTTTAGCGAGAGATGTAGAAGAGGTTTATATTTCTTTAATTAAGATTTAAGAATGATGTAATTTACACAGTTTGTTGTTCGTTTACCTATTACATCTATGTAAATCTTTATACTCAATGAATCCTTAAAATATTTATTTATATTTCTTTTATTATGTAATTTCTAAACTTTTTAATTTAAATTAATGAATTTTTCATATTATTAATGTTGTTTTTGCTTTATTTTTATTTAGTAAGTTAGCTATTCTTAAATTCGTAACCATTATTTGTATTAAATAAAATAAATAATAGGTGAAAGATTAAAGATGTGTATATGAAGCACCGCTCACATGATCTAAAATTTATTAGTATTTTTCTTTGAAAATATTTAAACTTTTTAAAACTTTGTTGTAGAGTTAGGTTCCAAAAAACTAAAATAAACCCACGTCTAGCTTGCAAAAAGGGAACATGTTCTCATTGTCAAATTAGCTCATGTCTAGATTATAAAAAGGAAAAATATTTCCATTGTCAATATGGGACAGCATACGAGTCTCAACCTTTTCCTAATACGAATATACATGTTGATGCTAGAAATTAATTTCAAACAACAATTATATTTCTCCATACTTAAAACACTTTAAAACAAAAGTCTCATGTACCCACAAAGTTTATACATAGTATTACAAATAATAACACACATAATTTATCATGTAATGAAACGCTTTTTAAAATCACAAAAATATGGTTAACGACATGTATTCATCGTATTTACTCACCTCCATTAAATGTAGACAGATCGGATCGGAAGACTACATTATGTTTTTTAGAGTGGCTAAACATATACACACTATCCTACTTCTAAAACTACATCTATTTGTAACCTCTGTATATCGCCTTTTGATGACTATACTTTAAGTGATGTTTAGATGTGGTCACCTAATTATGAACATTAATTAAGCAATTATTCAATAATTACCTCAATAATACTTAGATTAGGATTATTAAACTATAATACGAGTCATTTTAACAAATAGAATGAATATTACAAAAATTATCATCAGTGCATCATTTTCCTGATTTGTGAATTTACTTTGTAAGGTTGATTAAAATTTTGTAAAGACTAAAGAATATTTTTTAGGTCGTGCAAACTCAAACGGATAATTCTTTCAATAGTGAACAATATGAATGGTCTAAATTTATTTGTAAGGTCATGCAAAATGTGAGGTGACTCCATTTCGAACATAAACTTAAAAAATGTCTAACGATTCCAACTTGACTTAGTATTCAATATCATTCCAAAAACTTGTTAAATAGGCCATTTAACATCAAAAACAATCATTCAAGTTATGATTTACAAATTAGACATAAATATCATAAGAGTAAGTTTACCCTTCAACATGAGTTCATTTGATCGAAATTAATCTCCAAACAAGTTTTATATGAATGTAGATTCTTTAGAATTTATTTTCATGCAACGATACCAAACTAGTTTGCATCACGGATTGAGATTCCAATTGCTCAATTTTAACCAAACACTAAAGCTAAGTTCAAAACCATCTCTAGAACTCATGATCTCTATATAAACTTCAAATCACAACTAATGACCCATTTATTTAAGTTTATAAAACAATTTTATATAGTAGATTAATCATTAAATCATTGTATATAACTTCAAAATATTACTCCATCAAGCTAGGGTTCATGAATTCCTGAATTCACCATTGAAGGTGGAATAATGATTCCCTCATGATCTAATGTTTGAATCTAGACTTAAAACTTATCTAAATCTTTCTAATTAATAACAATCTCTAATGTGGAAAAATCCACAAACCCTAACTTGAATTCTAGATGAAAAAACAAGAGAAGTTATTATTGGAATATAGTGATTTTCAAAATCACAAAAAAAAATGCAACGGAAGCAAATTAAATTTCATAATCCAAGAGGATCACAAGTTCATCGATTCAATGCAACGAAAAATAAACCTAGAAAGTTAAGTTTCAAAATAGGTAGGGCCAATATGAAAATACCCATTACAAAATGGGTGGGCATATTGCCAAAATATCCTCCAACATCTCCTTAATTTTCTTTATCTAAGGTTAAGCTTTCAACACAAAAGCAAATTTCAAAGAAATTTTAACCACCCAAAAATAAACTCATATAATGATCTTTTTTCGTAGTTCTTTGTGATGGAGGGTTATGGCAGAGATCAATGACGAAACCAAATATATCAAGCTAAAGGTTTGGAATCATGGTTTATTTAAAAAATTTCCTTATATGGTCAAGAATCCTCTTCACCATTTTAGGGTTTTCATTGAACAACCTCTTGATCTTCGTCAGCCAGATATTTGTTGTAGTTACTTCAATTGAAGAACCATACGTTTACAACTTCACATAAAGAAGGTGATCCTCTTCAATAAAAATAATCGGTTGATCAGCTTTTAACTTTTAGACTAAATTATCCAGGAGTCAACCAATTTAACTAATATACAAATGCAACAAGAACACCACACCTTCAATCGGCATTGTTGTTCTTCCTCCTTGATTTGGATTTCCCGACCAATTTGGAAGGCGGTGATGGTGAAAACTCAAACGGAACCACCGGGAGATCCATTTCCCCTTTCAAAATCTTCACAATATCCCCAATATCCGGCCTCAACTCCGGCATCTTCTGTAAACAAGCGAGAGCCAAATTCACACACAAAATCGCCTGCACCTTATTATAACATTCACCCTCTTTCAATCTCTCATCCATTAATTCCAACAAATCACCACCTTGAGCCAATTGTCGACACCAACTTATCAAATTCGCCTTCTCAAGCTTCATCGGTGATGATAGAACATGTAATGGTCTTCGACCAGAAACAATCACCAGAATCAGTACTCCAAAACTGTAAATATCGGTTTTCTCCATTAAATAACCGCAACCACCGTATTCTGGTGCTACGTAACAAAGCGTCCCTCGCATGCTTGTTGTGCTGCTGAGTTCGCGGCTGAAGAGATCTTCGCTGTTCTTCTTTGAGTTCTTCCTGAAACTGAACTCTGTGTTTGGATCGATCTCGTTTTCGTGATTATGACGGTTTGTTTTTCGTTTTTTTCGGAAGATCGAGAGCTTCAATTTTCGTTTCATCTTCTTCTTCTTCTTCTCGACTTTCTTATTGCTGAGTTCGTCGAGGTGTTCTTCTTTCCACCATTCTTGCATTTTCCGGTGTGGTTTCCAGCCACTCTGTTCTTCGTTTTCTGGTTTGTTTTCGTTGTCGTTGGAATCCTTTAATTCAAAGTTCTTATCATCATCCCAATCTGGATTGGCCGATGAACAGGTTTGACTTCCGATCCATTCTCGGACGTAATCCTTGCTGCAAAGCTCACCGCTGCCCTCTTGTTTCCACCACCAATCTTTCCCCCATTGTTTCTTGCCAGTTTTGCGATCGTCGGAGGGATTCATATTGGATTCTCCAATGTGATTATTATCGAAATTAAGACCTAAATCGTCATCATAATTCGTGAATTTATTGTTAATCCAATCATCACCACCACCATTTTCAATGTCCTTTCCTTTTTCGTTTGTGAACCCAAATTTTGGATTATTACACACAACCTTATTATTGGTCGGCGTCGAAGAGGAGGAAGCCTGTAGAGCAAGAGCGAAATCTACCTCATTAGCGGTACTACTATCGACTGGAGTTCCAATCGCCGGAGACTCTCCGACGCCGCCGCCAGCTAAAGTTCCTGATAGATCCTGACTGAACAAATCCACACCGAATTCCGGCTCGATCTTCAATTTCGACAATCCGAAATCGGCGAGTTTTGCACGGAACTCAGTGTCGAGTAAGACGTTGCTAGGCTTCACGTCTCCGTGAATCACCGGCGGATCACATTCCCGGTGTAAGAACTCAAGTGCTCTAGCAACATCTAGGATGATATCGAATCTTCTCTCCCAATTCAAGCTACGATCGGAGAAAAGAGATTCCTGTAAGCTCCGATTCGGCATGTACTCATAAACCACCAATCGCTTCCTCTTATCAAAGCAATACCCTAACAATGAAACGATAAACTGCGACTCTAATCCACCGAGGATTCGAAGCTCAGTTTGGAACTCACGCTCGGCGTCTAACGACTCCGAATCAAGCATCTTCACAGCAACGAGTTTTCCATTTCTGAGTATACCACGGTACACGGTACCCGAACCGCCTTTTCCGATATAATTATCATCGGAGAAGCCATTGGTGGCGGAGTTGAGCTCTTTGTAGCTGTAACGACATAGTTTCAAAAATTCTGGACACGAATCAAGAGGACTAGTACGAGTCCGATGAATCAACGTATACCACAGGTAGTAAAGCAAGTAAAGAACTCCAATAAGTATAAGAATTGATGAAAAAACAGTGATTACGAGGAAGATGAAGGTAGCTCTGTGTTTTGTGGACTGTTGATGTGGGAAAGAAGAAGGTTGTCTTGAAGGCATTGTGTTTGTTGATCTCCCCAATTATCCACTCCAGAACGAAGTTAAAAACTGGTATACAAGGACAAATAGAGGATCTAGGGTTCTATAGTGTTATGAATTCGCCATGGGAATTTGGAGCTGCGCTTGACTCATTATCCGAGGGAGGTTAAGCTTTACAGTTGGAATAATCATAATCATGAATCATGGAAAATTACCAATTTTCGCATTGATTGGTCTTTGAAAGAATTTTCAAATCTGTTGTTAATGATGGAGATTTTGGATTGAGAATTTGTTTGTTTGGTGGGGAGATTAAGAGGGGACCCATGAGGCAGTGTAGCTTTTGACTAAAGAGAAAGAATTTGCAGGTAAGGAGAATGACTTTTTGGGGAGAGATGAAGGAAAATGGAGGGAAGTCGGGAACACACTTACAGGTGGACTGTAGGCTTGTAGTTAATTTATGCTCAAATAAAAATTTATACAATATGTATTTAAATATAAATATTCTTGGAAAAAATAGCAAAACAATATAATATAATATAATGCTTTAAAATTTTATACAATATGTATATAAATATAAATATTCATGGAAAAAATAGCAAAAACAATATAATATAACATAATGCTCTCATTTTATTTTATAGATAGACTAGATGGTTTGAAACATCACTGCATCTCGTTTGAAACGCAATCAAAAACCAAAAAATTAAAATAATAGATTATTAGGGTGGTATTTAGACCGACTTCAATGGATACATAAAAAAAATAAAGTTTTGGTGCGAAAATATGTTTCAATGACCACCAAACTCAACAAACTCAACATAGAAATTATAGAATTAAATATTGTTTTTATATTTTGTGTAATACTAATTGAATAGTACATTTATATTTGATTTAATATTATTTATCATACAAAAACAACTTTCTGAATTGTTTAATATTATTTTGGTTAGTTTTATAACTTTTACAACTTTAATAATTATTCTATTCTATATTATAATATGAAACAATGTTTTTTGTGTAAACTTTTAGTGTGGTTGGAGTAAAAAAAAAATTATGTTAAAAATACACAAATTTAATGATATTTTTAGTGGAATGCTTGGAGTTGTTCAGAGTGTGTATATTTGTTGTAATTTTTTAAATTATTACAATATAATATTCTGTGAGACTATTAAAATAGTTTTTTTTTTATGATAGACTAAAATAAAATGATTTTATTTTAATCATCTTCTATCCAGATCTGATCCTGACATATCAGATGTCTTGTGCAAAAACAAAATAAGGCCTTATCATTTTATTTTTTAAATTATTATTAAGTAAATTTGCTATCACAAAGTTACTATCAAGCATTTCCTAAATTCATGATCATAACATCATGTATCCACTCATTATATGTTCTAGTTTCTAAAATAATATATGTTCATTGAAGTATCTTTTTTATCATCATCAATACAATTCAAGGCGGCTACTCTTCATCTACATAAGGCATATTTATGGCACTTGTAGTTCAAATTCTTCTTCTATAGGTTCTTCCACAACATCTTAAATTTTTTTTCTAGGTTTTTTCACAACTTTACGAACTTCATCCATGTTTTCTAGCACATGTAATCCAACTTCTTATTCTTGATGTTCTTACAAACCGATTCCTCATTACGACGGTGTTTCGACATTTGTTTAACGATAAATCGATTGATAGATCCTCTTTAACTATGAATAAATTGTTTTTTTTTGTTTTCTTTTTACGTTTAAAACAACTCAACTCAAATTTTCTAGTTAGAGACATTTTTTTTAACAAAAAAAAAAATCAATGTTAATAACTTAACAATATATATTTTTAATATTTATCAAAAGTTAATGTTTAAAATAGTCAGAACAGCAAAAAAAATTCTTGTTTCTAACATTTTCTAAGTATTAGACTATATTAACAAAATTCTTGTTTCTAACATTTTCTAGGTATTAGATTATATTATATTAATATTAAAAGCAAAAACTATGAAGCCCATTGACGCCCTCTCCCACCCACTCTTAAATTTGTTAATGATCTATTCTAACCCCTTTGTACCAAACATTGAAAAACTAAAGTTATAAAGCTAAGATCCTGTTTGGTAGCCTCTTAATTGAAAAATTAAGAGGCAGACTTTTAATTTTTCAGATTTAGACTGTTTGGTTACATATGAATTTACGCATCTTAATTTTTAAGATACCTCTTAAACTTTTAGATGTAAATTTTTAAGATACCTATAGTAGCCTGCTAGGCCTAAGAACTGACGAATTTCGGTGGGCGTAGTCGGAGTTTCCCATCCTTCCACAGCTTTGACCTTAGAGGGATCCACATGAATTCCATCTTGGCTAACTACGTGACCGAGAAAATTCACGCTCCGTAGCCAAAACTCACACTTAGAGAGTTTGGCGTAAAGCCTTTCCGATCGCAGCGTCTCTAGGACTTGTCGGAGATGTTGGCCATGCTCCTCTTTGCTTCGAGAATAGACGAGGATGTCATCGATAAACACAATGACGAAGTTGTCCAAGAACGGTTGACAGATTCGGTTCATTAGGTCCATAAATGCGGCGGGTGCATTTGTTAGACCGAAGGGCATTACGACGAATTCATAATGTCCATAGCGGGTTCGGAAGGCGGTTTTAGGAATATCTTCTTCTCGGACCTTGAGTTGATGGTATCCGGACAGTAGGTCTATTTTAGAAAAATAGCTAGCTCCTTGGAGCTGGTCGAATAGATCATCGATTCGTGGAAGTGGGTAGCGGTTTTTAACAGTGAGTTTATTCAACTCTCTGTAATCGATGCACATTCTGAAAGATCCGTCCTTCTTTTTGACAAAGAGCACCGGAGCTCCCCACGGCGAGTAGCTAGGTCGGATAAATCCCTTGTCCAGAAGCTCACTGAGTTGGCTGGACAATTCCTGCATTTCAGCAGGTGCCAATCGATATGGTGATTTAGCGAGGGGAGTTGCTCCTGGGACGAGGTCGATTCGGAACTCAACCTGTCTCTCTAGGGGTACTCCTGGAAGATCTTCAGGAAACACGTCCGGGAATTCACACGCTACCGGAATGTCTTGGATGTTAATTTCTTCTTTAGTCTTGTCCACTATGTGGGCCAAGAACGCTAAGTTGTTCTTTCGCAGATGTTTTTGTGCTTTGATGCACGAGATAAGACGAAGATTCGTGCTAGGTTTGTCTCCGTAAATTACTAGGGTTTCGTGATTCGGGAGACGAAGGCGAACGGCCTTCTCGTGGCACATAATCTCAGCATGGTGGGGCTCAACCAATCCATGCCGATAATCACATCGAAACTCCTAATTGACACTGGCATCAGATCTATTCGTAAGACGTGTTGGTTAAGGGTTAGGGTACATCCAGTGTAGATTTCTCTAGTGGATTCGGTCTTCCCATTGGCCATTTCCACCGTATAGGTTTCATTTAGCTTCTGGGGTTGTTGTTTTAATAAATGTTTAAACTTCTCGCTTACGAAACTTCGCTCCGCTCCGGTATCAAATAAGATGCATGCATAAGCGTGGTTTAGGAGGAACGTACCGGTCACAACTGCGGGGTCCTGAACTGCATCACTCTGACCCATAGTCAGCATTCTTCCTGCTCCTCTGTTTCCTGAGTTGTTGTTGTTGTTAGGGCAGTCTCGACGGAAATGTCCCGTCCTTCCACACTCGAAACAGGTGTGGCTAAGCCCTGCATTGTTGCTACCGGCATTGGTGTTGTTGTTATTGCGGGGGTTGTTGTTGTTCTGATTGTTTCCCTGATTCTGGTTCTGAGAAGGATAAGTCCTGCAGAACTTTGCAGTGTGTCCCCTTCGGTTGCAACTGGTGCAATGGAACTCCCTACATTCTCCTTGGTGATGGAAACCGCACTTGTTGCATTTGGGATGAGTACCAGAATAGGGTTTTGAGGTATTTGAAGCAGCTGAGGTTGGAGCATGTGATGTGACTGGTACCGGCGCAGTGACAGCGTGAACTGCCACCGTTTGCTGCTTTTTAGAGGTCTCGGGACCCTGACGCCCCTTCCTCTTGTTGTTCCATCCTTTCTTACCATCACTCTCCTTCTTCTTCTCAGTCTCTACCGGTTTCTCGCCCTTTTTGTGGTTATGATCGTATAGCCTCTTTGCCAATCTCTTCGCACTGTCAAAAGTTTCAGGGTTCGCAGCTATCACGTTCCCTTGAATGGGGGATGTCAGTCCCCAAATGAATCGTTCAATCTTCTTTCCCTCTGATGTGATCATACCCGGGCACAACAGAGATAGTTCGCTGAATCTTGATATGTAAGCATCGATGTTCCCATTCTGCACCGTGAGATTCCATAGTTCCTAATAACCTACTATGATAAATCTATTCCTAACCGTGTTGAGCTGCGTCAGGAGGTGGTGCTGAGGATGTGGATGCTCCCTGAAGACGAGCAACCAAGCGTTCCGCGTCCCGGAGTCGAGACTCCCACCGAACCTGTCTCATGTGAAACTCTCGAAGGACGTCACGCGTCTCCTGCTCCGCACGCTCGACCCTAGTCCTCAATTGGTGTACCTGATCCGCAGTGTCCTGGGCAAGATCGCCCGTATTCCGTAACCGTTTCACCATGACTGGAAGGGCTCGATCAGCCGGCCCTCCGTCTCTCAGGTCAAAGAACTCGCGTGACATGCCGTACGGGGGTCGCTGTCCCTGCTGTCTGCTCCATCTCCAAAGGTCAATACCCCAGGGAGGTGTAGGGCCAGTGGGGCCCACTCGATATGCAGGCACCCGGATCGGGTAAGGGGGGTTGATGACTTCGGACTCCGCATCCGAATCACCCCCGTCGCTATCATCGAGCTCCTCTTCGAAATGCTCTTCGTCTCCTTCGGGTTCGACAGGCTCGCCTTCGGCTTCTGCCTCCGGTTCCCCGTCAGGTTCCTCCTCGGACTCCTCTAGCCACCCGTTGTTTCCCTGATTAGGGAAGTAGGGGTCTCCCGGGTGATGAAAACCAGCCATGCTGTCTGCGCGAGTACGTACATATGCTAACATTATCCTAGGATGCTATGACTATTGTACAGACTAAGCAAACATTCTCTTTTTGGGTGATAAGGGTATAGTTTTTGGTTCTCTGGCTATCCCGATCTCTTCAAGACGTGTGTTAGTTTTACCTTGGAGAGAATGTAGTTGATCAGGCTACATTCACTCCTTGGTATCCCTAAGAACAGTCCCGAATTAACCGAGATACCAGTATTATTGTGTTTGATTCGACGTTAGGTTCTTATCCCTAATGCAAGCAAGTGTGTTTTATTTACTTGTGTTGTTCAGAGTTATGTTAGTCCCTCTTTTTGGTTTATAGTTGCATATCAATGTATGGCTCGACATGCTAGTTCACTATAAACAAAGCTCTGATACCAACCTGTCACACCCCCGAACCAGACGGCGGAAACGTCCGGGGGCTTGCCGTGACTCAATTGTATACCATAACATTGAATATATATGAAACATAACAACATTCGTTACCATTCATCAACATAGTACAACCAGTAGTGTTTACATATCAAACATTGTTTAAACATTACATTCCCAAAAATTAAATTGTTTATTCATACATAAATAAACCGCAACCGTCACTGAATGTGATTTCCCTTGATTCACTGGTTCCCTGAGAATACAAGTATTTTGAAAAACGTCAACATATGAAATGTTGGTGAGTTCATAAGTAGTGTTTGAAATCGAATGTTTGTATTGTTTGAGAACCACCAGAAAATCCGATATTTTCTGAAAAGATAAGTTTCCAAAACGTTTGTGAAGATCCATAGGTATGCTTGTTTGTTTCTATACTTGTAAAAAAAAATGTTCGTTTAGAATGTATGCATTTCAAATTTGTAAGTATTGAAAACCCTAGGAAAACCCGATGTTCTCCTAGTTCCTTGAATTACGTGATGTTACATTGAAACCATTGCATAGCGTATAGTGTCAGTCCCGGCGACGTTGGAAGGTTTCGAGCAGGATTATTTACTACAAACCCGCGTTACACAAACGCCCAGTTTATAGTTATACTAACGACTCCGAAGGCGTCGTCAGTACTAATCGCGTTATCCAATCGCCCTGACTAGGTGAAGTCCCACATCCGAAGAGAAAGAGGTCACGAAGACCCCGGTAACTCCATTAGCCGGTTGGGGATAAAATGTACGAGGGGTCCCAGACCCGCCTCGCATGAAATGTAGACCTTACTAGCAAGACCAAAGGACCCTTGGGGACCGGTGGTATACAAGCCATTGAAAGTCCATTTACGTTGTGTCGGATCGGTAAAACCCAACACTCCGTAAAAAAAATGTCTTCGGGCCTTAAGATCAGGTCATTGGGCTAGCTAGGCTCAACGAACAAGATTTTACACTTGTGGGGCCCAAAGATGGTGCATAGACGTCTGTGCACACTCGCATGTGTATGTATAACCAAACGTTACTTGTATGAATCGTAGTGTTAGTAGTTGTAGATTTTTATTGGCTCGAGACCGAGCCAATTCGTTTAACAACGACTTTTGGTATTGTAATGTATTGTATTTCGTTGATAGTCGTGGTGCCATCATTCGATCAAATTGTGTATATTGAACTAGCCTTGAAATATTCCTGTTTTCAGCCCCTCATCATTTGTAAAATTTACATTTTTAACCCTTTATATTAAATACTTCCCGGTTTAGTCCTTAAACTATTTTTCTTGACATTTTAACACCAAAAATTATTGAAATTAATATTTTTCAACATGTTTTTCATAAAAACAGTTTAAGTTCTTAAAAATGCAGTTTTCACGGTTTTAACCCCTTCTTTTCGCAACTTTTACAATTTTGGCCCAATTTGGAAAATTTTTGCAACTTTGGTCCTTTTTAAATTTAAAAAGCATTTTTAACCTTTGAAAAGGGTTGGAACACTTATAGTCCACTGTTTTACAGAAAGTTACAGTTTTGGCCCTCCAAAACAGAAAAATTCGCATAATGGGCCTTATTGGGCCGAAAGTTACATTTTTAGCCCATTAAGCTTAAAATTTATGATTTTAGTCCCCTAAATGAGTATATTTCCAGAAATTTACTTATGAAAACTGTTTTGGCACACTTCATCCATCAGAATCTGTGAAATGACGATTTGGGCCCTTATTTTTGCATTTTTCACATTTTAGGCCCAAAATTTGTGTTTTTAACCCAAAGAAATTATTACTAAACTACTTAGCCATTTTTCTTGAAGCACTTTGTGTTTAGAAATATATTTGAAGTAAAAATCATGTAGCACAAGTTATATCTCGGTTTTGATGAGTTTTGAGGCTAGATCCAACATAAAAACACATAAAAGCATACATATAAGCATGGAAATCATACAAGGCATACAAACACATATAGATCTACACTTTCACTTGTATTCCCCCCCCACAAAACTCATAAAAACAGAAAATAGGGGTATGAAGCTCACCTTGGGGTGTTGGTTCGGTTTTTGCAAGGAAAATGGAAGGAAAAATGAAGTGTTTTTGGCTTGGCTCCCTTTGATGAAGATCTCGAGTTTTGAGATGGTTCTAGGGTGCAAGATCACGATTTTTGCATAGATTAGGAAAGGATTTTGATAACAAAAGAATTTAAACCATAGATCTATGCATAATCTTACCTTAGATGATGATTTACTTGCAAAATCCTCTTGGAAAGTCCCTAATTTTCGAGATTTTTGGAGAGGGGAGGAAGGAGAGTTCTTGAGTGAATCTAGAGAGAATGAGATATTTTTGGTGTGTGTGGTGTTGCTCTCGGCCGAACAAGAGAGAAGAGAGAAAAGAAGTGATCTTTGAATGATGTTTGCTTGGAAACATGAGTTATATGCATGGAAGTCCAACATGTAAAGGTGAGGTGGCAACCCAAGTCAACTCTCCTTTTCCTTGGGCTTGGGCCGAGAATTGAAGGGAAGAAGGAAAAATTGGGCTTTTTGCCCCTAAGCCCAACATTAGAGGTAGTTTAGGGTATTTATTGGCCTTATAAAATAAAATTGTGATTTTTATGCTTTATTAAGCTAGGTTAGGTTAAATTATGGATCAAAACTTGTGTTTTATTTCATTCTAGGTTCTACCTAGCCCAAAATATTGAAATAAACGAATGTGGGTCCAATTAGAGCCCAATTAGGGTCCTAAACCCATGATAGTCCAATTGGAAGCTTATTGGTCCATTTGGATCCAATAAGGAAGTCCTAGTCCAAATGGACTTAACAAGAACTTCTAGGGTCTCCAATTGTTTGATGACTACTTATAGTACTTGTATCTTGTATTTGATTGAAGTTTTTGATTCACATTAGGTTGAATGCATAGATTACATGGCTCAAAATTTACAGTTGTGACATCATCCCCCGTTAGAGGGAATTTCGTCCCGAAATTCTGTTTGAAAGCTAGATTTGAGAAAACTAGAATAGGTGAGGGTACTTTTGCTTCATTTGATCTTCGCGTTCCCACGTGAATTCTGGCCCACGCTTTGCGTTCCACCGTACCTTCACGATCGGGATGCGACTCTGCTTAGTACGCTTCACCTCCCTGTCCATAATTTCGATTGGTTCTTCGACGAACAGGAGATTCTCATTGATTTCGATTTCGTCAAGAGGAATGACAAGGGTTTCATCTGATAGGCACTTTTTCAGATTAGAAACATGAAACACGGGGTGTACACCGTTTAGCTCTGCGGGTAGTTGTAGTCTGTATGCTACTGGACCTATTCGGGCGACGATTTCGAAAGGTCCAACGTATCGCGGGTTCAGCTTTCCCCGTTTTCCGAAACGTATAACCCCTTTCCAGGGTGAGACCTTCAACATTACTCGATCACCGACCTGGAATTCTAAGGGCTTTCGCCGTTTATCAGCGTAGCTCTTTTGCCGGTCACGCGATGCCTGTAATCGAGCTTTGATCTGGACAATCTTTTCTGTGGTCTCGCGAATGATTTCCGGTCCCGTTAATGCCCTGTTTGACGTATGTGTTCTTGCTAGCTGGGTGTCACCTACTTCAGCCCAACATAACGGTGATCTACATTTACGCCCGTACAGTGCTTCGAAAGGGGCCACCTTAATGCTCGAATGATAACTATTGTTATATGAAAACTCGATCAACGGTAGGTGGGTATCCCAAGACTTTCCGAAGTCTATCACACATGCACGAAGCATGTCTTCAAGCGTCTGAATGGTTCGTTCGCTTTGACCGTCCGTTTGTGGGTGATACGCTGTGCTCATATCAAGATGAGTTCCCATTGCCTTGTGGAGCGACTGCCAAA